TAGAAGGAATACAGAGTCACTGTACCAAAAAGAATTGTCTGACACAGAAAAATTTCATGAAACAACATATGACCAAGAGACAGTGGTGATGAAGGAGAAAATTCAAGCTGCCATGGAGGAATTGCCAAAAAACAAAGCCCCAGGAATTGATGAAATACCAACTGACATATTTCAACAAACAGATGCATCCCTGGTTATGTTCAACAGGTTGCGCCAAGAAATTTGGAGGAAAGCTACCTGTCCAACTGGCTGTAAGAGATCTATGTTTATTTCCATTTTAAAAAAAAAAAAGGTTATCCAACAGAGTGAAAAAAGGTGATCCAACAGAGTGTGAAAATTGTTGAACACTATCACTAACATCTGATGCAAGCAAAATCTTGCTGAATATTGTCCAAAAGTGACTGGAACAATATATCACCAGAGAACTAGCAGAAATACAAACTGGATTTGAAAGAGACCATGGCACTAGGAACACCATGGCCAATGTCAGAAAATCTTGACTGAAAGCAGAGAATACCAGAAGAATGTCTATCTGTGTTTTTTGTTTGTTTGTTTGTTTGTTTATTTTTTTTACTATGCAAAGGCATCTGACTGTGTGGATCACAACAAATTGTGGCTAGCCTTGAAAAGAATAGGAATTCTTCAGAACACTTGAGTTTTTGCAAAACCTATACTTGGTGGAAGCCATCATTATAAAAGAGCAAGGAAACGCTGCAGGGTTCAAAATCAGGGAAAGAATGGGTCAGGGATGCATCCTGTCCCTGCATCTTTTTAATCTGTATGTGGAGCAACAGATGAATTGAATTAGGAAAATCTGCTGTCAGGGACCTCTCCAGAGTGCTAAAGAGCAATGATGTCAGTCTAGAAACAGGTGCACCTGATCCAGGCCATGATCTTCACAATTACTTGCTATCCATCAGAGAGCTGGACAATGAAGAAGGATGACAGAATAAAAATCAGCACCTCAGAGCTGTGGTACTGGAAAAGAATATTGAACATACCATTGACTGCCAAGAGAACAAACAGGTCTGTCCTGGAGAGGGTGAAGCCAAGTTGCTCTTTGGAGGCATTGATTTTGAAGCTTCATCTCACATACTTTGGACATGTTGCCAGATGGGACTAGTCCTTGAAGAAGGACATCATAGTTGAGATGGTCAGCGCAAGAAAGGAAGACTCTGGATGAAATGGATTGACACACTGATTGAGGCAATAGGTTAAGGTATATAAGAGACTGTAAGGTTGGTTCAGGATAGGGAAGGGTACAGAGCTATTGTACACAGAATAGGGTCTCTATAAGTTGCAGACAACTTGCCAGCACATAAAAACTACTACTACTATAGTGGTGTTGTCTATATCATTTTTCAATTTGAGTAATGTTTGCTTTGTGTATTTTGCAGTTCTATAATTTGCTGCATAAATAATTATTATGGTTATTTTATCTTGTTCTATTCACACTTTAAGTCAATTAGTGTCATTACTTGTCCTTTGTGGTGGTTTTACCTTGAAGTGTCTTTTATCAGAGATTAATATTGATGCTCCTTTTTTTTTATTCTGGTTGTCATTTGTTTGGTATCTCCCCCTCCCATCCTTTTATTTTTAGCCTGTCTTTATCTTCACTTTTTAAATGTCTCTCTTGTAGACAGCATATTGAGGAGTTTTGGGGTTTTACCCAAATTGGTACTCTTTATCTCTTTTCTAGTGCATTTAAACCATTAATATTCAATGTAATTATTGAGGGGCAAGGTTTTATACTATCATTTTGTTGAGTTCTTCTTTGTTTTGTTGTTTTTTACTTTGATCTATCCTCCGTACTGTGGCACCTCTGTGAGAAGGTATTTCTTGCAACATTGGTCTTGTTTTTACAAACTCTCTTAGGTTCTGCTTTTCTGAGAATGTCTTGATCTGCCTACCATCTTTGGTGGACAGTTTTGCTTGATACAGTATTCTTGTTTGATAATTGTGTTCTTTGAGTGTTTGATATGTCATTTTACTCTCTCTTATTGACATAGTTTCTGCTGAGAAATCTGCACTTAATTCTTATTTACTCTCCTTTATAGATTAGGCTTCTTCCCCCCCCCCCCCACTTAGCTACATTCAGAATTTTCGCTTTGTCTTTGATTCTGGCAAATTAGAATATGATAGGCTTTGGTGTTTGGGTGTGTGTGTGTGTGTGTGTGTGTGTGTGTGTGTGTGTTTCTTTTGGCATCTATTCTATATGGGATAATCTTATCTTCTTGGATATATTTTTTTCTCATTCTTCATGATACCTGGGAAATTTTCTTCTAGTAATTCTTCACAACTTTCTCAGTGCTTTTTTTTTTTACTTCTCCCTGTTCTGGGATTACAATTATACAAATGTTATTCCTCTTGATGATGATTCACATTATTCTTGGGCTTTCTTCATTTTCCTTCCTTTTAATTCCAGGTTTTGGGTTAGTTGATTTATTTTTTTTTCTCTAGTAGCTCAGTTCTGAGAGATCTTTCTTATATTTTACCTATTCTGTGCTCCATCTCTTCAGTCTTGCTCATCTCTCTCTGAAACATATTGACAGCTTCTGAGACGTTGGTCCTAATATCCTAGGTTACTGTTTCTTGTTTTCCTCAGGTTCTAATACCTCATATGTTTCATTTGTCTTGAATTTTATTTTGGTGTTCCTTTTTGCTCTTTTTTGTAGAATCCTGCAGTTCTTTGAGTTTTTCTTTCACTCATTGAAAATACTTTACCATTTTTCTTTTCAATTATGTGTTAGAAAGTTTCATTAGATTTTCTGCCTTCACGAAGTCCATTGATACTGTGTTTTGATCACTTATGGGGAATATCTTGCTTAGGTATTGTTTAGGGTGTGATGTAGTCTGCTTCTTCCATGTCATTACTGTGAACTAGGTTTTCCTTGCCTGGGACCCTAGCAGGTCCTGTGTCTGAGGACCTTGGCTGGGGATCTCATCACTCCAGAGGAGGGAAAGACAACTTACCATGTCTGAAGATCTCTGTGGTCCCTGGGCTCACTGGAAGACTTTCCTCAGTTTGAGAAGCCAACATTCCAGTAGGTATGGTGAGAACAACTCACTCTGCCTGTGGTCCTTCTTTGCTGGTCCTATGGCAAAGTCTCAGATGCCTAGCAAGTTATCTGAAAGACCATGGTTTGTATCAGATGCACTTGAGTCCCCAGACTGACATCACTGCTCCTCAATAATTTGGAGAGGTCCCTGACTGTACACTTTCCCAGTGCAGTGTTTCTGATTTCATGACTACTGTTACCAAAGGTGTTGATAGCGAATTCAAGTAAGATGAAATCATTGACAACTTCAATCTTTTTTCCATCTATCATGATTTACCTATTATCCCAGTGGTAAGAACTTTTGTTTTCTTGATGTTGAGATGCAATCCATACTGAAGGCTGTATTCTTTGATCTTCTGCTACAATAGCTTCAAGTCCACCTCATTTTCAACAAGCAAGGTTGTGTCATCCACATAAGTTGTTGATGAATCTTCCTCTGATCCTGAAGGCACATTACTTTTCATAGTGTCCAGCTTTTTGAATCATTTGCTCAGCATGAGATTTAATAGATATGGAGAGAAAACACAACCCTGATATGTAGTTTTCTTGATTTTAAACATTATATTGTTCCCTTAGAGAGCTCTGGTGGCCTTGTGGAACTGTAAGTGCAGTTCGAATCCATTATTTGCTCCATGGGAGAAGGATGGGCAATCTTCTCCCATGTGATTTACTGTTTCTGAAAACCCACTGGAGGGTCAGCAATGGGTTGATTCTGACTCAATGGCAAACAACAGTAGTGTTACTTTGCTTTGTTCGCACAACAGCTTCTTGGTCTAGGTATAGGTTTCACATGAGCACAATTAAGTGTTCTGGGATTGCATTCTTCTCAATGTTAGTCATAACTTGTTATTATCCATAAAGTCAAATGCTTTTGCATAATCAATAAAGTAAAAATAGACATTCTTCTGGTATTCTTTACTTTCAGCCAGGATCCATCTGGCATTACCATTGATATCCCTGGTGCGATAGCCTCTTCTAAATTCTTTTTAAACTTCTGGCAGTTTCCTATCTATGTACTGTTCTGGTCAATTTTTTATGGTCTTCAGCAGTGTTTTGCCTACATGTGATACTAATGATATTGTTTAATAGTTTCCACAGAGTAAAAAGAAAGCCACCTGGGAAAAATAATGGGGTGGAGCTCTCAGATTAAAACAAGCTTGGAAGGAGGAGTGGCGTCCACTTCCATAATAACTTGCCTCCGGAAACCCTATGAACCTGGAGAGAGGATGAAAGACACCCAAGCATTAAGGACTCTCCTTCATAGGGTCGCTATGTGACTCAATGGCACTAACAACAACAAGAACAACATGGCAAAGTTTGCTGTGCCTGGGGAGCACACTCTTTAACAAACTTACTCTGTCTCTGGTTTTTCCTCTCTGGTCCCCAGGTCACAGGAAAGTTTGCTATGCTGGGGAGCCTACTGAAAAGGGAACTGGCAGTGACCTTACCTGCTTCCTCCCTTCTTCTCAGGTCCCACAGCAAAGATCTTTATGGCTGCAGAGGCCACAAGGAAATGGAGCTCACTCAGCTTCTGTACTGGGGCTGCCTCGGAAGTTCATTCCAACTGGGAGCTCAGCTGGAGGAAAGCTTTCCCTGATTCTGTTCCTTCCTTTCTGGTTCTGCAGCTAAATTCTATGTGGTTCCATAGCCGACCAGGACGGGAACTAAGGAATTTATTTTTTCCACAAAAACTATGTCATGTTATAACTGATGATGACGTTATAAATAAAAACAAACTAAAAAAAATATGGTTATGCGAGCAATTGTAATGTCACACAACAATAAGTTATTGTGAAAGCAGGATCTATGTGTGATATCAGATTTTACAATTTGGGTTTCTAGGAAAATGCCCTTATATGAATGAAAAAAGGCATTTTCTATAAACTAGGAACTCAAACTCATATTGGGCATTCTACTAAAATACTGAGTTGTGTCTTTAAGGTCCAGGAAAGATCTGCTTTTATGCCATGCAATAAAGATCGTGCACACCGTGTCACCTTCTCTTTAAGGTATGTATATTCAAATTACCAATACTTTATACAAAGACCTTAAAAATGAAAGCTTATTTTTTTACACTAAACTTGAAATGAAATTATAGCTGAATTATTATTGACATCATTATTGAATCTACATTTAAAAATCTCAACTTCAGTGATCCATGAACTAGGTCTTTTATACTTGATTGTACTACATTTTTTGTGTCATTTAAATTAATAATTATGTTGTAAGGCCTATAGCTTAATTTTTGTTGTTTTGTTGTTGTTGATTGTCGTTGAGTCAAGCACAACTCATAGTGATCCTCCAAAGGCCTGAACTCTTTCTATAACAATCAAAGTTGACAGTTTAATTTAAAAGAGCTAAGACAATGATTGTTTGATATTTTCAAATTGTTATGGAGATCAAGTGGCCTAGTGGATATGGAGACACTCTGTCAATCTTGAGGCAGATGTATTGAATCCACCAGATGTTCCAAAAGAAAAAGATGGAGAATCTTCTCCATTGCAATGTATAGTCTCTATAAACCTTCAGGATAATCAGCTATGAGTCATTTCCAATGTAGTGGCATTAATTTTTAAATACTTTAAAAATGATTTATTGATGATAAAAGAATTTTTTAAATGTGAAATTTCTAAGTGATGTTTTTGTTATTAAATAACAAATGAACTCTAAACTCAGAAACTAATGTTATAGAATTTGCAAAATGTAAAATATGATCTATAGTCAAAATCAAGTCTAAAGGGCAAAATATTATATAATAAAATACTATAGGTAATATTTACATATAGTTGTGTAAAGATGAGTTGAGTATAGGTGAGTTGTGGGAGGATATCAAGAATGTTATCCAGGAATAATGCAAAGAAAGAAGATGAAGGAAAGATAAAAATGGATGACAGAAGAGACTCTGAGTATTGCACTAGAGCTCTGAGAAGACAAAGCAAAGGGAATAAATCAAGATATTAAGGAGTTGAACAGAAGACTTCAAAGGGCAGCATGGGAAGACAAAGTAAAGTAGTATAATGAAATGTGCAAAGAGCTGGAGTCAGTAAACTGAAGGGGCCTAACTCGCTCAGCATTTTTTTTAACTTGTTGTGTGCCATCAAATCAGATATGACTGGCACAGGAGGAGATTGCCCCTCCTTCTCCAGCAAAGCATCTGGTGGATTAGAATATTCACCTTTGGGATTGCAGTGCAGCTTCTTGCCACTAGGCCACCAGAGCCCCTTGCTCAGCATTTCTTAAACTAAAGGAACTGAAGAACAAATTCAAGCCTCAAGTTGCAATACTTAAGGATGCTTTGGGCAGAATAATAAATGATCCAGGAAGTAGTAAAAGAAGATGGAAAGAGTACTCGGAGTCACTGTACCAAAAGGAATTGGTGGACACAGAAGAATTTCATGAAAGAACATATGAGCAAGAGCCTGTGGAGATAAAGGAAGAAGTTCAAGCTGCTCTGAAAGAATTGGCAAAAAACAAGGCCCCAGGAATTGACAGTATACCAACTGACATATTTCAAGAAACAGACACTTCCCTGGATTTGCTCACAAAGTTGTGCCAAGAAATCTGGAGGACAACCACCTGGCCAACTGACTGGACAAGATCTATGTTTAATTCCATTCCAAAGAAAGGGGATCCAACAGAGTGTGGAAATTATTGAACAATATCATTAATATCACATGCAAGCAAGATTCTGCTGAAGACTATCCAAAAACGACTGGAACAAGCACATCAACAAGGAACTGCCAGAAGTGCAGGCTGGGTTTAGAAGAGGCCATGGTACTAAGGGATATTATAGTTAATGTTAGATGGACCTTGGCTGAAAGCAGGGAGTACCAGAGGAGTCTCTGTGTGTTTCATTGACTGTGCAAAGGCATTTGACTGTGTGTAGCACAACAAACTTTGGCTAACTCTGAGAAGAATGGGAATCCCAGAACATTTGGTCATGCTTATGCGAAACCTATACTTGGACCAGGAGGCAGTTGTCAGAACAGAGCAAGGGAACACTGTATAATTAATAATTGGGAGGGGGGTGTGCCAAGGATGTGTCCTATCTCCATATCTTTTCAATCTATATGCAGAACAGATTATCCAGGAGGCTGGGATCAATGAGGAGAAATGTGGCATCATCAGGATTGGAGGAAGACTCATCAACAATCTGTGTTATACAGATGACAGAACTCTGCTTGCTGAAACTGAGGAGGACCTGAAGCTCTTGCTGCAGGTCAAGGACTGTAGCCTTCAATATGCATTGAAGTTCAATATCAAGAAAACAAAGATTTTCACCACGGGGCCAATTGGCAGCATTGCGATGGATGGTGAAGACATTGAGATTGTAAACAGCTTTTGTTTGCCTGGCCCCACAGTCAACACTCTTGGCATCAGCAGTCAGGAAATTAAAAGATGTATTGCATTACATTGGGAAAGTCTACTGTCAGGGACCTCTCCAAAGTGCTGAAGAGCAACAATGCCAGTCTGGAGATTGAGGGGTGCCTGATACAGGCAATGGTCTTTGCAATCACTTGCTATACATCAGAGAGCCGGACAATGACTAGAGATGATAGAAGGAGAACTGACTGATGCCTTTCAGCTGTGGTGTTCAGGTTCATTCTCGAGAGTGTTAAACCAGGCTGCTCCTTGGAGGCAAGGATTCTGAAGCTTCGTCTGACATATTTTGGACGTGTTGCAAGGAGGGACCAATCCTTGGAAAGGGACATCATGCTTGGGAGGTTGGAGGGACAGCCCAGGAGAGGAAGACCCTCGGTGAGATGGATTGATTCAATGACGGGTAATGGGGGTAGGTGTTTTGGAGACAGGGAGATTGGCACAGGATAGAGCAGTGTTTAGGGCTGTTGTACATAGGGTTGCTATGAGTTACAGGCGACTTGACAGCACATAACAACAACAACAACAATGTTTACATCATTCACTGTATTTTTAATCTCTGTTATGCCAGTGATTATCAAGAAATTTTAAATATTCTTTTCTACATTTTCTTGTTTACATGTTAGGTGTTATATTTGAAAGCCCAATTTTAAAGTGAATTTTCCTTGGAAATCATATTCTCTCTAATCACTATTCATAATGGAGAGAACCATTTTCTCTTTCATTCATTAAATATTGAGTTCTTCCTATATTTACAATATACTGGATAGTATAAGTACGTATATCCCTATCTTATTAAATTTTAATCCCTTGTATTTTATACCCTCATATTTAACTGGAGTTTAGAGGTCAGAGAAAATCAGAAAATAAGACTCAAAACTTTCTCTTTATGTGTACTCATTGAATGTGTTGGCATAGTCCCTGTGACTACAAAGGAAAGAAATTAGTTTATTTCAAGAGTTAGTTTTGGTACCAGGGGGCATGATTTTGATAAAAATATAACATATAAAAAATCAATTTACTTTTTAAGTAAATTAAGTAATTAAGAAGTTATTGTCCATTTTCCAATAGGACATTTGAATTTGTGGATAACACACAAATTTCATTGCCTGTAACTATGGCTAAATTTATAAGTTGTTTTAAATAAAGTGTGACACTTTCTTGGCATTTTCAACCGATAAAAGACTGTTTCAGGTAAAAATCAACAGTGTTCCTAGAGAGAAATTCCAAAGCAACTGAAAATTGTGGCAGCACTTGGCCAAAACAACTTTCCAAATATATCCTGAATTTGAACAGTAAAACTAAAGTATAAAGAAAAGTGTTTACTCATTCTATCTTACCTGTCTACTTATCCATCCTTCCTAGATTTCTTTAAAAAATCATGTTCAAATTCTCCAATACATTAGATGTTGTTGTGTGCCATCCAATCAGAATCAACTCTAGTTGACCCTCCAGTGAGTTTTCTGGGCAGTAAATTGCACAAGAGATTGCCCATCTTTCTGTCACAGAGCAGCTGGTGAATTTAACTGTGTTCCTTTCAGTTGGCAGTACAATTCCTTATCACTAGGCCCAGAACCACCAATTATTTTACATACTACATATATAATACTCTCTC